CCAGAAGATCTCCCAGGAGTCCCACCAGAACGTCAAGTCGAATTCAGAATCGACTTGATTCCCGGAGCCACCCCAGTAGCAAAGTCACCGTACCGTTTAGCTCCAGCCGAGATGCAGGAACTGTCCAGTCAATTGAACGAGCTGTTGAGCAAGGGATTCATTAGGCCAAGTTTCTCACCATGGGGTGCACCAGTCCTGTTCGTGAAAAAGAAGGACGGATCTTTTCGCATGTGCATCGATTATCGAGAACTGAACAAACTGACAATCAAAAACCGATATCCCCTTCCACGTATAGACGATCTTTTTGACCAACTACAAGGAGCGAGCTACTTCTCGAAAATCGACCTAAGATCCGGTTATCACCAGCTACGAGTACTAGAAGGAGACATCCCCAAAACGGCTTTCCGAACACGATATGGTCACTACGAGTTTGTAGTGATGCCCTTCGGATTGACAAACGCTCCAGCAGTGTTCATGGATTTGATGAATCGAGTATGTCGCCCTTTCCTGGACAAATTCGTGATCGTGTTCATAGATGATATACTCATCTATTCTAGAAACCAGGAAGAACACAGCCAACATCTCCGCCAAGTTCTGGAAACATTAAGGGCAGAGAAACTTTATGCAAAATTTTCCAAGTGCGAATTTTGGATTCGAGAGGTGGATTTTCTAGGACACGTAGTAAGCAAGGAAGGAATACACGTGGATCCCTCGAAGATCAAGGCAATAGAGAATTGGACGATCCCAAGAACCCCTACAGAGATCCGACAATTTTTAGGACTCGCCGGGTATTACCGAAGGTTCATACAAAAATTTTTCCAAGATTGCCAAGCCACTCACCACACTAACTCAGAAAAATGTGACCTTCGACTGGGGAGAAAAACAAGATGCCGCATTTCAAATGCTAAAACGAGCATTGTGTAGTGCGCCCATCCTAACCCTGCCAGAAGGGACGGAGGACTTCGTGGTCTATTGTGATGCATCAAACCAAGGACTCGGGTGTGTCCTGATGCAACGAGGGAAGGTCATCGCCTATGCCTCCAGACAACTAAAGACGCATGAAGTGAACTACACAACGCACGATCTTGAGCTAGGAGCAGTCGTTTTCGCTCTAAAGATATGGAGACACTACCTCTACGGCACAAAATGCACGATCTTCACTGACCATAAAAGCCTTCAACATATTCTCAACCAGAAAGAACTCAACATGAGACAAAGACGGTGGGTAGAGCTACTAAGTGATTACGAATGCGAAATTCGATATCACCCCGGAAAGGCTAATGTGGGTGGCGGATGCACTCAGTAGGAAGGAATACTCCGGTCGCCGAGTGAAGTCCCTAACTATGACGATCCATTCCCACCTGTCCACGCAAATCAAGGAAGCCCAAATGGAAGCCTTGAAAGCTGAAAATGTGGCAGGAGAAACCCTAAGGGGAATGGATAAGAATCTTGAAACCAAGAACGACGGAGTTCGTTATTTCATGGATCGAATATGGACACCAAAGTTTGGTGGATTCAGAGAAATCGTCATGGACGAAGCCCATAAAACACGATACTCCATACATCCCGGCTCCGACAAGATGTATCTCGACCTCAAGAAGTTGTACTGGTGGCCGAACATGAAAGCCGAAATTGCTACCTACGTGAGTAAATGTCTGACGTGCGCTAAGGTCAAAATAGAATACCAAAAACCTTCAGGTTTATTACAACAACCAGAAATACCCGAATGGAAGTGGGAGCGGATAACTATGGATTTCATAACCAAGTTACCCAAAACGACAAACGGACTCGACACCATTTGGGTAATTGTCGACAGGTTAACTAAATCAGCGCATTTCCTACCGATCAAAGAGACGGATAAATTGGAGAAGTTAACAAGGACGTACCTCAGGGAAATTGTACGACTGCACGGTGTGCCCGTATCCATTATCTCGGACCGAGATAGTAGATTCACCTCAAGATTCTGGCAGTCGCTACAAAGAGCTTTAGGGACAAGACTAGACATGAGTACCGCCTATCACCCTCAAACCGACGGCCAGAGCGAGAGAACCATACAAACCTTAGAAGACATGCTGAGAGCCTGCGTAATCGATTTCGGCAAAGCATGGGACACACATCTACCCTTGGTCGAGTTCTCGTACAACAATAGCTACCACACCAGTATCAAAGCTGCCCCGTTCGAAGCCCTCTATGGCCGCAAGTGCAGGTCACCTTTATGCTGGGCCGAAGTGGGAGACACCCAACTAGCAAAAGGACAAGCAACTGACAACACACTTACTGGGCCAGAAATCATACGGGAAACTACGGAGAAGATTGTTCAAATCCGAGAACGTCTAAAGGCATCAAGGGATAGACAAAAGAGTTATGCAGATAAGAGACGAAAACCCTTGGAATTCCAAGTTGGAGACCGTGTCCTACTAAAAGTCTCGCCTTGGAAAGGATTGATACGCTTCGGAAAACGTGGGAAACTGAACCCCAGATACATCGGACCATTCGAGATCCTTGCGAGGATCGGTCCAGTGGCTTACAAACTTAGACTACCTCAGGAACTCCACAATGTACACCCTACCTTTCATGTATCAAACCTGAAGAAATGCTTATCCGACGAGACCCTTGTCGTCCCTCTAGACGAAATCGCAATAAACGAAAACCTCCAATTTGTAGAGGAACCGGTAGAGATCATGGATCGGGAAGTCAAAAGGACTAAACAAAGCCGCATACCTATCGTAAAGGTCCGCTGGAACGCCAAGCGAGGACCTGAATACACCTGGGAACGAGAGGATCAAATGAAACAAAAGTACCCGCATCTTTTTCCTAATTTGTAATAGTGATCTTAGATTAAATTTCGGGACGAAATTCCCTTAACAGGGGGATGATGTGACAACCCTATTTTTCCCAAAAGCATTGTAAACACTCGAAAGCTAAAAACAACGAAATTAACCTCGAAAATAAAGTGTTCAGGTATCTAAGTTGGGATGCATCGAATATTAGATATCATGCCCAGGTTTCCAAAACATAAAGAACACTCAAAACCGAGTTATATTGAAGAAATTATAACCACTCGTATAATTACGACTCGACGTTAAAACATAATTTGACGTAAAAAGTGAAATCTCATAAAATACATTTTAGCCTTAAAGTATCTAAACAAAAGTCGTAGATCTCGTTGAAAGATGAGCGTGCATAAAAAGATCGCCCAATTTGGACCTCGTATGAAGAAGTTACGAATTTTCAAAGTTTCGTAACAGTAGTAAAGGGCTAAAAACTCGGATTGAAGATCGAGTATTATTTAGCTATCGCCACCTAAACGGAAGTTGAAGATCTCCTCGGTGGTAATAAAACAATAAAAAGACAAACGAAAACCGACGTCGAATAAAGAACCTATGAAATTTTAACGAACTTTAGGAGGCCCGGCCTATTAAAATTATATCATTAAAAATAAAGTCAAAACTAGCCGACGGAGTCTAAATGAAAGTTGTAGAGCATAATCTCACCTACGCGTGGATATAAAGAACGCGAAAAACGGAGCTCGTACGCGAAAGTTACGGAATTTAGAAGTTGGAAGCAGGGATTACGCCCTGCGTAATCTGGGAGTACGCCCCGCGTACTAGACCCAGGGTCGAGTCCCATCGGCCCGCCCAACTACGCCTAGCTAGCCAGGAGTCGTAAGCCATGACGCCTTATTACGCCCCGTGTAACCGAAGTACGCCCCGCGTACTGACTACGCCCCGCGTACTCCGGCAGTACGCGCCGCGTACGGGGTTTTCAGCCCTATAAATAGAGGGCATAAGGCTCGGGTTTTGGCACACCTTCACCATTTCTCAGACATTCTCCCAGCTCCAGAGACCCTTTTCTCACCTCGGTTTCCGCACTCGAGCCCCGACGAAAGATTTACGTTGCAGAAGTTCCCGAAGAGCCCGACGACGCAACTATCCGCGATCGAAACTCTGCTCAACTCTAGCCCCTCTCTTCAAACTTAACGAGTGAGTTCATACCCCTACTTTTCAATTCTTTTACATGTTTTAGGGGGGAAATACAAGTACATTACACGTTAAAAGTATCGTTTTCTAAACATAAATGCAATTTCTAACTTCGAATATCGATACAAACATCTTAGTATACAAGGGCAATTATATCACTAAGTTATGTCTACGAAATGGAACATACTATCTGAAAAACTATAATGGGTATAGTTAGCAAGTCAATCCTACATTTTATACAGTTTGAAAACGAACACTTTCAAAAGAAGTAAGGTTATTTCATTGTAAATCTATTTATACTAGTCAATGTGAGACATTTAAACTTCAACGTACATTTTTGTATGCATTTCAAGTCCTGTATTATATACCATAATCTCTTGGAGGGAGAGCGTGATACTTGTGTATAGATCTATACGGGATTGACAATCCCGCACCTAAACTACTAGCTATAGTTAGACCGGCAGGTCTGGGGTGACAAATGTCATAACACTGCAACACTTGAAGAATGTTGTTACAGGCCGTCAGTGTCAATAGTATGGTTATAAAGCTCACATAAAAAGTATAAAACAAGATTGATTTACGAGATTCATATGTGCATCGCAGTTTTCTTACATTATAATTTCATACTAAATTATTGTCATTGTTGTCTATAAAAGTTACTAATACATTTCCAGTTTTGGAACCTCTTTCATTCTTACAAGAAAATATCGGATTTTCTAAAAACCTCGTTTACCAAATTACTACCAAAAGGAATATACTTTTCAACTCGGAGCACTCATGAACTCACCAACTTAATTGTTGACACTTTTCAAAACCACTTGTATTTCTCAGGGAATCAGTGATACAGGTAAACTACCAGCTTTTGGAAGAAGGAACACAAAGGATGATTTTATCATTAAACATTTATTCATCATATTGTAATATTCTTTTGATAACATGTATAACGCAACAATACACGTTTTCATTGTTATATATATGATGGTTGTGTTACTTTCTTTACAATATTCAATCGTTGTGATACTACGTGAAGTCATCCACCCCCGAATGTTTCCGCCATTCTGGTTTGGGGGTGTGACAACTGGAGCCAATCACTCTACCTTTTAACACCTGCCTTGTAGTTGTAACAGTCGAAATCACGGGGTCAGCTTTCGATATGAATGGATTTGTTAAAGGAATGTTTGTTGTAAAGACTTTTCCAACTACTTTAGCTTCTTCACCAGATTTTCCAGAAGCTCCTTCACCAACAGACGTCCTTTCTCCCCCTTGCACCCCTGTGACAACAGGTGGGGAATTTTTTGGTAAAATACTTGCAAGTTGAGATAACGGGGCTAACTGTTTGTTGAGATTAGCTTCGAAAAGAAGAAACTTTTGGGACAAATACTCTTTGGTAATTAAAGGAGAGGATCCTGGCTTCGAAACAATATCTTTCAATTAAGTCAACAATTTTTTGATTTTGAAAAGATTTGTACTTCGTCTTTTGACATTTGATCAACCTTAGGGCCAAGAACTTAATAGAGTTTGACAAATCTTATCACTGCATCCACAATTAGGTCCATCTTTTGATTAAGAGAAACATAATCTTTTTCTGCAACTGCGATCTCTTTGTTCATATCCTCCCAAAGTTCCTGAATATTCAAATTCACATCTTCTCTTACCTTCATAACATCTTGAACAAATAAAATGTGACGTTCTTTTGTAACAGTTTTCAATTCGTGAAGATTAGAAGAAAAAGTAGACAATTAATTCTTCACACGCTTTTCATTATTCTGATCAACTTCAAAATGTCCTCATGAAGACGGCCAGCTTGCTTTTTGAGCATAAGATCAACTTCGAGACAGGATACTGAATGTTTCCTTCCTCTATCAGCTTGAATTTGCAATAATGAATTAAGCTTCTGATTCAGGATTTTGAATTGTTTTCCAGTCAGTATCAAGTTGTCAGGAATCTCCTCTTCTTTAGGATCAAACTGAATATCTCCAAATGTTCCACCAAAAATATTTTCATCATCATCAGATGAATGATGAGCTTCCGTAGTATTAATCGGTGGGTCCGTAGATTGGGAAGAAAATAAGGAAGTAACTGGTTGGTTGATGATATTTTCGGAAGTTGGTGAATGTGTATCAAGAGGAGTAGTTACAAATGGAGGTAAAGTAATTGTTGTATCTATGGTGGAAGTTTCGAAAGTTAAAGAAACAATGATAGGTGTACCTTGTGACAGAGTGGTTTCGACATTTGTTGTCAATGGAAGAGAAACAATAATTCGTTCTGGTTGAGAAACGGAGGAAGATACAACAATCATTTCGATATTTGAAGTATCGACTTGAGAAGTTGTCACTGGTGGATCTTGAAGAACTTCATCTTTAGTAGATTCGTCATTTAACACCAATTTGCGAAGCTTCTTTTTCTGTTTTCTCAAAATATGTTTAGCCATATCTTTGACTTGTTGCTTCTTTGATGAAAGTGAGATGGGAACTGGAACTTCTCGAGTCACCACTTTTTTTCTTGTAACATGGGTTTTCGAACCATAAATGGATAAAAAACTTGGATATTTATCAGAAGAGCTTTGTGACCTATGAGCCATTTTCTTGAGTCTCTTGAACACTCCAGTTTTCGAATGAACCACCTCCTTTAGAGGTGCATCAGGCTTTATTGCACCAGTGGTATCCTTAGGCTTCTAGACAATGACATCATCTGTTGGTTTCTTCATTGGAGATTTTGTTTTCTTCTTCTCCCAAATCGGTTTCGTAGGACTTTCCTCTACCTTCTTCGAACTTCTTGAACGTTTAAACGGACCCTTTGCAATTCTAGACAACAAAATTCCAGTTTCAACAGAGGGATTGATCGTTTTCAAATAAGCCTGTAAAACTGAATTGGAAGAATCCACCTTCTTAAGCATACCATCCAGAATTCTACCAACACTAGGAAATTCATCAGAATTATCCTCAACAACTTTCCTAAAATTTTAATTCAAAAATTCTGTTGTAACCTCATTAGCTGGTACTTGAATTCCTTTATATTCGTATGCAAATTGAAGAATCAAACTCCAGTATCTTGCAAATGAAATACCATCTACGACATTGGTACTTTCCACACTCTTGAGAAATTCCCTCCATATATGTGTAGCATAATACATAGAATGATCATAATAGATACCAGCCACCATGGCATAAACTTCAAATCGCCATTATCCAATCCAACATTCCGACCAATAAGATAGCAAAGATAAATGCCAAACAAAAAATTCCAAATACACGGAAGGCTGGACTTCTTGAATTCACTAATCTTTTTAAGAACGTGTTAATTTATGACTTATATTAATCAAATAACAATATTATTATTCTTTATATTATCCTCATAATATATTAATAATATTTCTTCTCTCATTATAAATCATCTTGTCAAGTTGCTATGGTGAAGGCAACCCAAAAGGACCATGCTCAATTGGGTAAAGTACTTACCAAATATAGTTGCAGCCTTAGACACTATTCCAACAGTCTTCCACTTGGATAAGTCTAGTAATTATATATACTGATTAGCAATCGTAGCTCTCAAAGACGCTGTCAAACTCTGATCTTATCAATTTTGTCCTTTAGATAAGGGATCGTACAGTCCTCTTTTAGATATCATGCTATCAATTCTATGGAACCAATTGTCCAGCATTTGGTTTCTCGATCTCAGATTTATTCGACATAGAACTTAATCGAACACATCAATTTAGTTCTGATCGGGCCCGGCACATAAGTCAAATCAAATCATCGAGCGGCCGAGATATCGCTTTTACCCTCTTAGGATAAAAGTAACAAATAAACTTCGACTTATATGCATTTACTTATTCATTAATCAATTATACACAACAATGAGTTTTATAACATCAATTTACTGATGCGGTTTTGCATTATCAATGTACAACCAATTAACAAATAACAAACCACATATCTAGGTTTTAAGACCATAGGATATTATCGTCTTGCGATCAACCTTTTTCGTCAAATTCCATAAGTTGATTCCAGCAAGCGCGGGTTTGTTCCAATGCTCAAAACTAGTTCATAAGCACTCATGAACGTTGTAGCAACCTTTTGCTATGTCTAATACCATTTAGACACTCTACACACTAATTCATGACAATCTTCATTCATACCTACTTCCAACATATGAACGATTGTGGATCGTTTGAGTAATTCGATTATTCCAAATAAACTCAATTATTCAGGAAGTCAAAACATGCAAAGTGAAACAATAGTTAAACATTTAACATAAGACAGTAACTTTACTTATAAATAATACTCCTTTATTTATTCATCAAATGTTAAATCACATTTATCTATCATAAGTTTCTAAAACTATATAATCTAATCTAATATCATCTCTCAGCCCAATACTCTTAGCATGCTGCAAATGCTTAACCCTACTCAGTCCCTTCGTAAGCGGATCTGCTGGGTTATCTTCTGATGATATCCTCCTCACCACGAGGTGTCCTTCTTCTACTCGATGTCTAATGAAATGATATTTTCTGTTGATATGAAGAGATCTACCATGATCCCTCGGTTCCTTGGTCAAGGCAACCGCTCCTTCATTATCACAGAAAATTTCCATAGGCTCCTTTATGACAGGCACAACTCCAAGATCACCAATGAAGTTCTTTAACCATATTGGATCCTTCAACGCTTCGCTTGCTGCAATCTACTCTGATTCGCACGTTGAATCAGCTACGGTTTCCTGCTTGGAACTCTTCCAAGTTACTGCTCCTCCATTAAGAGTAAAGACCCAGCCCGACTGCGAATGGAAGTTGTCCCTATCAGTTTGAAAGTTGGCATCACTATTTCCTCGCACCTTCAAGTCATCACTCCCCCCGAGGACTAAAAACCATTCCTTGGTCCTCCGAAGTTACTTAAGGGTATTCTTGACCGCAATCCAATGTGCTCTTCCAGGGTTCCCTTGATATCTACTAACCATGCTCAAAGCAAAGGCTACATCACGGCGAGTACAAGTCATAGCATACATAAATGAGCCAACTGCGGAAGCGTATGGTACTCGGCTCATTTCTGCTATCTCGGCTTCGGTACTCAGACTTTGAGTCTTACTCAACTTGGCATTACTTTGTATTGGTAATTCTCCCTTCTTTGAATTTTCCATACTAAAAGGTTTCAGTACTTTATCTAAGTAAGTGTTCTGACTAAGTCCTATTAGTCTCTTACTTCTTTCTCTCACTATCCTTATTCCAAAATATAGGAAGCCTCTCCGAGATCCTTCATAGCGAAGCACTTCCCGAGCCAGGACTTAACCTCCTGCAGAGTCTGGATGTCGTTTCCTGTGAGTAGTATGTCATCTACATACAAAACGAGAAAGCTAACTATACTCCCACTGGCTTTGACATATACACATGATTCATCTTCGCTTCGTACAAATCCAAACTCTTTGACTTTCTCATCAAAGCAAAGATTCCATCTGCGACATGCTTTCTTAAGTCCATAAATGGACTTCTCAAGCTTACACACTCTATTTGGATGCTTCGGGTCAACAAAACCCTCTGGCTGAGCCATGTAAACATCCTCAGCCAACCTCCCATTAAGGAAAGCGGTCTTGACATCCATTTGCCAAATCTCATAATCATGAAATGTGGCAATAGCTAGTATCACTGTAATAGATTTTATCTTCGCAACTGGTGAGATGGTCTCATCATAGTCAACTCCGGGAGTTTGAGTAAAGCCCTTCGCAACCAATTGCGCCTTATATGTGTGTATGTTTCCATCCACGTCGGTCTTCTTCTTGAAGATCCATTTGCACCCAACGGTCTTACGTCCGGGAACATTATCAACTAAATTCCAAACTTGGTTGTCATACATGGATTGGATCTCGCTGTTCATTGCCTCTTTCCATTTTGCAGACTCCGGGCCTGCCATGGCTTCCTTAAAGCTATTAGGTTCATCTAGATTTATTAGTGTACTATCACTAATATACGTGTCCCCTTCGGTAGTAATATGAAAACCATATAACTGGGGTTGAACTCTAACTCTTTCGGAACGTCTAAGAGGTAAGCACTGGTCAATAGGTTCAACCGGAGTTTCCTCCTCGGGTTGATTGACAGCGGTAGAGGTTCCTTCATCAATCGATTCTTGAATCTCTTCGAGCTCGATTTGCCTCCCACTGTCTCCTTGGCTTATGAGTTCCCGCTCTTGGAAAACCCCTCTCCTCACAACGAAGACAACATTGTCACTCGGTCTATAGAAGAGATATCCAAAGGATATCTGTAGGTAGCCGATGAAAATACATCGCTCACTACGAGGTTCGAGCTTGTTGTGAGTATCTCGTCTTACGAAAGCCTCGCAACCCCAAACCTTGATATGTGCTAACGAGGGAGCTTTCCCTGTCCACATCTCGTGAGGTGTTTTGGTAACCTTCTTCGTAGGGACTCGATTAAGGATATGGGCAACAGTCTCTAAGGCATACCCCCAGAATGAGATAGATAGTGAAGCACGACTCATCATAGAATGAACCATGTCTAACAAGGTTCGATAATGCCTTTGTGCCACACCATTAAATCGTGGTGTGCTAGGTGGCGTCAATTACGAAACTATTCCGCATTCTTTGAGATAGTCGTGGAATTCAAGACTTAGGTACTCTCCTCCTCGATCGGATCGAAGCATCTTGATTTTCCTGCCCAATTGATTCTCCACTTCATTTTTGAACTCTTTGAACTTTTCAAACGTTTCTGACATTTGCTTGATTAAGTAAATATACCCATATCTACTATAGTCATCGGTAAAAGTCACATAGAAGCAGTTCCCATCCTTTGTGGTTGATCTAAAGGGTCCACACACATCGGTATGTATGAGGTCTAAAAAACCCTCACCCCTTTCACATGTGCTAGTGAAGGGTGACTTGGTCATCTTTCCAAGTAAACAAGATTCACATGTGTCATCTTCCCTAAGGTCGAATGACTCCAACACTCCATCCTTTTGGAGTTGGGCTATGCGCTTCTTGTTGACATGTCCAAGACGATAATGCCACAAGGATGCTCTATCCATACTATTTGAAGAATCCATGTATAAAACATCATTTCCTAGGTTATCTACAATCATAACAGTTTCATAAATTCCATTACATGGCATTGCTTCAAAATATATGTCACCATTTAGATAAGCATAAATAGAACCATTCTCATTATTAAAAGAAAATATAAATCCTTGTCTAAACAAACCATGAAACGAAATGGTGTTTCTTGCCATTTCTGGCGAGTAGCAACAATTATCCAACTCTAAACATAATCCATTACTAAGCACTAAAGAATACACTCCAATCTTGGTCACAGGCGACGATCTTCTGTTCACCATGATTAGATTTATTCTTCCGTGCTCCACATCCCTATTTCTTCTTAGTCCCTGCAATTCAGAACAAATGTGGTAACCACATTCGGTATCGAGGGCCAAGAAATAGCATGAGATGAATCATTAGATTTAATTGTGTAAATACCTACGAAAGATGGCTTGATCTTTCCTTCCTTGATAGCTTGCAGGTATTCTGGGCAACTTCTCTTCTAATGCCCTATTTTGTGGCAATGGTGGCACTCTGCCTCCTTTGGGTTAGAGTTGGACTTAGCGGGATCAACTTTGGTCCCACTAGAAGAGGAACCATCTCAGGACTTTCCCTTGCGGTGGCTCTTAGACGGAGCCTTCCTCTTCTTGCCCCTTCCTGGCCCAATAGCCAAAACAGGAGCAGCGGGTGGATTGGGAGTTGGTGCAACAGACTTGTCCTTGAGGTTGCTCTCAGCAACCCTTAGGAGACCTTGGATTTTACTTAGGGTGACCTCTTCCTTGTTCATGTGGTAGGTCATCCTAATTTGGTTGTAACACGGAGGCAAATCTTCCCCAAAGTCGACAATCAACTTGCAAAGACAATCGACATACCTTTGCATCTTTTGCAAGTGTACGGTTAGAGATTCTCCATGTCCCATTTGTAACGCCTGTACATCCGGGCTAGTTAATTTAGAGGTAATAGGGGTCGAAAATGATTTTTCAACAAAAGATTATTTAGAATAAATAATCTTAACCAAGTTTTAGAATATGTCACAAGGTTTCCGTACATATAAAGAGCGTCGAAATCGGAGTTATAACGA